GGAATGCCAAAGGAAATTAGAGCACAAACTTGGGCTGGATTCCTATTTGCTCAAACCAGTGCAGCGCCTGACAAAGTACCAGTTACTTCTGAAGGTATTTCATATTCTGCTTTGAAAGGACATCAGGAGACGGATTTGTTTTCCACTTTGTTTTATTTTTCAGTTAAAGGTTACCTGTAAATCAACACCAAGCTTTAGATTACATATTGCTTACGTTGGCCCTCGGTAGTGACTTTTGGTGAAGATGAAAATTTGCATACCTGAAAAAGGAACAAGTGTTTTTAACAAGCCATTTTTTAAGGGGAGAAAGACTGTTTGAATCTGTTCAGAGATGCAAAACGACAGAAGCACTTCTAAGAAAACTGAACCAGAGATGATCATAAGAGTATGATGAATGAAATATATTATACTGATGCATCTCTTCTTCTCCTCAGGTTGTTATAGTGCCTGTCATCTTTAATGCATTTATTCTTGTGTCCTCCACCTGAGGCAGGGCAGTGCTCTTACTCCCACTCTGTAAAGTGACAGTAACACTGGCGTAGTGGCTTCTGAACCCCACCTTCTAGCCTCCTGAATGAGAGATGAGTACACATGAAGCTGTAAGTGGGCACAGGAGATCTGAAGTGAAAGTAATTTTGTATCAATGGTATAATTCCCTAATCTGTCTTTCACTTATTGACTTGAAGGCTCTGGATTTTATAAATTCGGTTGCTTGTGTCTGCCAGTCTGAAGACAATCATCTGGTGCAACCTCATTTGAAGGTGTATATGACGTATTGGCAGCTGATGGAAAACCTGAGCCTTATTTCCCATTTCTTACCAAGCAGGAAAACACAACACAAAGAACTCAGATGAGCGTGATGCCGCTCTATAACCTGACACCATCCTTAAGGAAACCCAGAACAAATGGGCCATGCTTCAGTGATCTTTCCACGCCTCATACTGACTGTGGTTTAGAGTGAGTCTTTTTTTCCAATGACACGTGAAAAAAGAAACTTAGGCAGCGTAGGTTACTCTTTGGCATTGGAAACTTTGGGTGAGATGGGAAAGTCTGCTTTGTTCAAGTGCAAACACGTGCTCTTCCATTTCTATTTTCAGGAGTTGCTAAAGTACAGCACAAGCTGTGATGGAGTTCAGGAACTTCAAGAAGCTCTGGTTGCAATGTTGGATTTGCTAAAGTCAGTCAATGACTCTATGCATCAGATTTCAATAACAGGATATGATGTGAGTAGATTTGGGTAATGAGAGACCTTGCACAAGGCCGGATGATGCATTGGGAATGGATAGTGTCCCAGAATGTATGAGCTTAAAACTGTACTAGAATAGCTACAGAGAGAATGGGATCAAGAAAGTCTTACAGGTGACAGTCTTCCATCTGATTTCGGGATTTTGGAAAATATCCGCATCCAAAGGACATATTCCAAGTCGCGTAGTGCCCACACTTTGCCACCTTGTGGTTCTTGAGAGTATTTTTTTTCCAGCATGCGCCTTAGTTCTCTGATGGCTCACCTTATAATTCACCAGGGGTGTCTTCATACCATTTCTCATTCAACATTTAACTGAAGGCTCTCTGAGGCTGATTTTGATCTTTGCCCACTGAAGTGGTTGTCTTTCCTAGGGCTCAGGGAAGGGTGAAGGGATGGCTTTCTAAGCTGCTGGTCCCAGTCCTGGCCTTCTTGGGAAGTTCATCTTCCAAGACCTCAGCTGAGGGTCAAATCTCATCAGCCCTTTCCCACTGAAGTAGCCAGAGCCCTTGACCTGGACTTCCATAGGAGCTGGAGAGTTTTCCTGTCTTCCTAGTTCTTCCAGTTACTGACTTGTATCCCTTCACACAGCCTCGCTGTAGCCCTGTGTCCGAGACCTCTGCTTCCCTCCTGGCACCATGCCATCACTCCCAAAAGATCATCTGATCCTTCCAGGAAGAACCTATTCTTAGAGTGACGTGCCTTGGAACAGAGCTGGCCCCATCGCCCGTCATTGTTCGAACAGTCTTCTTTTACATCTTAATTGACGTCTTTTTCTTTCTTTTTTTATTTGTCATACTCTCACCAGGGTGACCTGAGCGAACTGGGGAAAGTGTTGATGCAAGGATCTTTCAGTGTTTGGACAGGACACAGAAAAGGTCCGACGAAAATGAAGGATCTTGCCAGATTCAAGCCAATGCAAAGGCATCTATTCCTGTACGAGAAAGCCTTGGTCTTCTGCAAGAAGCGAGAGGAGCATGGAGATGGATATGACAAAACCTCATCTTACAGTTTTAAGCATTTTTTGAAAGTAAGGACTTTTTAGTTGGGGCTGTTGCCACGTATATGCAAACCAATAACTCTGCAGATCCAGAGTGTATTTTTCCTCTAACACAGTGGCTTGTTTTTTGCTAATAAGGGCTGTAATGCCTCATATGGAAAAGCCATGCCCACGAAAGGCTGTTGGAGGATGCAGAGAGAACTCTTCTTCCTCTCTCATTGCCTTTCTGCTTTGGCAGGCTCCAACTGCAGCTAAAAGTACAATTATTAGATGAAGATATAGCCTATGGCAGAATGTGTGGGACAAACAACTGTCCTAAGCCTATAAATGCTGACTGTTATCGATTAAAAACCCCACATTGCTCCTCTAAAAGAGACCTTCTGGCATACTGCGTGTGATGAACACTTCTAGCATCAGCATTTTGTCTCAGAACTCTGCCTTGGTGTTCTTGATAAATAAAATCCCGATATGGGTATATCTTAGAACGGAAAAAAATGGGCACTTGGAGGCAGAGCCTTCAGGGCCAGATGCTGCAGGTCCCTGATCTCGGCGGGGTCTGGGGAGGGAGATGCCACGAGTAGTTGGAAAGCCATGTGATAGTAGATAAGTCTGTTCAGCTCCAGCGCATGTTACAAATTGTGTATTAAAAGCAAATCCCACGCCGTATGTTTAGGTACTTCAATGTTTTTCCCAAACAGCATCATTTTCTGTCTGGAGAGCTTGTTTTCCCTGTAGTACTTGTTTTACCATACGTGCTTTTGAAAGAACTGAAGAGGTGGCATGGGGACAGCCTGCTTGGAGGAGAAAATCCTGTGCTCAGGAGTCCAGGCAATGTGGCCAGGGTTTTTCTTTGCCTCGAGAGGACTCATTTTCCAGTTGTTTGTGTTGCCACACTGAGAGGTTGGGGTTAGAGAATCCATGGATGCTGCAGGATTATATCCACACGCATCTGTTTTCAGAATTGCTGTCATGACAATGAAATCATGTTTCTGGAGCTTGACATTTGTTTGATTCATGACAGTATCAGGAAATTATTTTTCTTTGCAAGAATGTTTTCTGGGGATTCAGAAGCTGTTGGGTAGAAGGCATGTAGCTGGACATCTGTAAAACAAACAAAAGAACCCCTCGGGTAATATTTTACATACCATGTAAAATATCCAGTGGTAAATACCGCTTCAGCTGCAATTCAGTAACTTAGAGGATGCAGGTTCATGCCTCACGGCAATGCCAGGCAAATCAGTCTGCCTCGTACCGCTGTGGAAGGCGATGCAGATGAACACCGTCCCAGAGCTTTATGTTAACTCACCTTGGTCTGCATTGCAGTGAACCAACAGCTGAGGAACAGTAAATCCTGGTCAGGGGGAGAAATAGAATTTCAAAATACACTAACATGAATGAAACCTTAAATATGTCTATTCCTGACACTTTCCTTCACATCCTCATAGTAGATTGTCTATAATTTCTAACAGCTTGATGCCTGGGCAGTTTTGTAGGAGCTTACGTATAAATTGCCATGCCAGTGGAGATGCACAGAACTGGAAACTGCAGAATACGGATAAGGCATTCTCTAGGCTGCCCTTTCAACATCTTCCATAAATTATTTTTTTAAGTTTTAATTTTTTTTTTAAGTTTTCATAAAATCAGAATAGAGCCTAATCTGACTTTCTAAGACATTGTACTGCACAGGATTATTTTAAATTTTATGAAATAAAATAAAACTAGGAAATACTGACTGCTGTTCAGTGATAGACCTTTCTGCATCTGGAGGCAAACATTTTCTCAGAAGTTCATAAGAGCTCAGCTGCTCATACCAGTGAAGAAATGAGGAAAGCTAATTAGCAACTAATTTCCTATTTCCCGAGGCTGTTCATAGTCACTGAAAATGGGTGCCAACATTTGAAAAAGTAAGTAGGAACAGAAAGTTTGCCCAGGTCACCTAATTTGTAAATCCTCATAGTTGTTCAGACCAAAAGCTCTGAGGATGTACATATTAACAAAGAAGAACAGCAATGTTAAACAAATGTTATTTCTAAGCCCTTATTTGTATTTATACTGATTTATCTAGTGCAGTCTGTGTCAATAATTTATGATAGATGATACCATTATTATTAGATCTGTTTCAAAACATGTAAGTGGGATACTGTAGCTATTTTTGACCCTCCGTTAAATTGCTAGCAAACTGTGCTTTAAGTGAGAAGATGGTTTATGCGACAGCAGGTATTAAAGCATTTTTCAGCTTTCAGCAGGTAGGTCAGAGGTCTCCTGTTGCTGAAGAGTTTCTTGGTCTCTAATCGTAGTTTGAGCTACTGATTCAGTTGGGTCATATCCTGCAGATCCTGGATTATTTGGGCCTTTGGCATTTCCATCCAATTTATCAAAAGTGGTCTGTGGTAACGGGTACCTAGGTACAGCAGCATTCAGCCACGTCTAGCTTGAGGTCTGCGTGCTTCCTGAAAGGCAGGTTTATGGCAGCTCAGGCTGTATATCCAAAAATTAACCCTTCTTTTGGAAACCTTGGGATGATGTCTCATCTACAGGGATGGTCAGGGACCAAAAGTCGTTAAAATGAAATTCCTAAAGGAGCTGAGGACTTCACAAATGGGTTTTAAAGATCGCTGAAAGAATGAATCACAGAATTCAGTGAGTAAATAATCATATGGCAGAAATACTATATGTAGAAAAATAATATGCCATGCATTTATAAAGCTTCATATGCTTCATCTGAGAAATTTCATGCTGAAAAAGGTATGAGATGACTTTTCAGTTAGTTCCATTGATTCCCAAATGAAAAGTCCCCTAAGGTCCATTGATTGATTTCAGAAAGCTTTTGCAAATACAGCAAGCTGTCAGAAAGTCAGGAGAGATAGATAGTTAGAAGTTAGATAATGACTTTTAGTTGCTGCTGAAATTAAAGTTGGTGAAACGTGTTAAATTGGGTGAAAACAGGTTTGTTTTAACATGCTGCAAAACATCTAGAATCATAGGGAAGAGGGAGAGATCTGTAGTATGTTTAATTTTTTGGTTCTTTTGCAGATGAATGCAGTTGGAATAACCGAGAATGTGAAAGGAGATCATCGGAAATTTGAAATCTGGTATAGTGGGCGAGAAGAGGTCTATGTCGTGCAGGTCTGTAGCTTCAAAATTCTGGATATTTGCACATCCTCATAACAGTGTTAAGGAAATGCCTCCCATTGATCTTTACGGCGTTATCAGACATTTAATTTGCATTTCTTCTTCCTCTTTGCCCATGTCAGCATTCACAGAGCTGTCCCAGCGGCTGGTCCTTGGTGTCCAGTCCAGAACTTTAGAAGTCATCTTAAAGTGGAGACAGAATTGCCTTTGGAAATAGAACCTTTTATTCCAAATGAAATCTGAAATAGACCTGTAGTTGAAAAAAAAGATTTTACTGTGCTTAATAGCTTATGTGAATTGAGCTGAGAAATGGGCCTCATGCTTCCATGGCCATGGGCCACATATGCTCCTCTACAATTAGATGTCAGAACTGCTCCCAGAGCAGAGGCTTAGCCTCCGTGGTGCTATTTCCAGTAGTCTTTCGACTCACCTACAAAATAGTAGCCCGAATGACCCGATTTCTTCTTGTTGTTTTTTTGTTTTGTTTTGTTTTTCCTTTTGAAGCATTTTGAGTAAAAATTTATGGAGGTGAAATGTTTGCCTAACAGGGTAATCACAGGAAAACCCATTGTGAAAATATTGTTGGTTGATGTTTTTTGTTTTAAATAGGTCCTCTGCCCAGCATTTTTTCTCCATGTTACAACGCAGTAGCCAACTTAAATTCATAAAGCAGATATATGTAGCAGAGTGGACATATATTCAAAAGGCAGATTTGGCTCTTTGGGTGTTTTGTGAAAGAGATAAGATGCATGCACACGTGTGCTTTTGCCTGCCCTCCTTGCATTGCAGTGATGGCTCCACAGTTTCTACTGTGTTTTGCCTGGGTGTAGTGGGGATCATCAATTTTAAAGGATCAAGAATGGTTAAAATTTAGTGGTGGCTTTGGATAAAAGGGGATTTCAGATAATTACAGCACAGAAAAGTAAGATTTTATTCATATCTTATAACGGATGATTCTTAATTAAAAATTCAGACAGTTTTCTATTCTTCCAGGCCCAAACAATAGATCTGAAGATGGCATGGTTGAATGAAATAAGAAAAATTTTGTTCAAGCAGCAGGAGCTTATAAAAGGTACATTTGACCAGTTTCTCTGTGGCATTCACTCTGCAGTAGAATCTTTCCTATTTTCACATTGCTAATCTTCAAATCCACTAATTCCTACCAGAGAATTGATTTTCAGAAGCAGCCTAGTAGCGAAATACTGGAGTGAGGTCTTACATTACAGGGAAATAACATAACTTAGAGCAGTAAAGGCCAGATGCTTACGTGAAAATGAATTACAGAAGTACTTTTTTTTTTTGGTCATTACTTTGGAGATTATTTCACATTTGTTATCCTAGGCCTAATTCAACAAGATACATAGCAGATGCCTAGTTTTAAGCGTATTAGAGTCTTCAGTGGCATGCTCACTATTGGATTTGTGCTAACATACCATCTTAATTATAACTAAGTCTGCGCTTTGCAGGAGTCCCTAGGTCTGTTTTTCTCTAAACAGAAAACACTGGGTTGTACAAAAGGTCTAACTTTAAAAATAATGCTTCAAGTGTGATGGTTACTAATAAAAAAATGGATTTTAAGCTGGTGTTTGACCTCCCCACAGTGGAGAAGCAGCAGCCGGGCTCATGCACGGACCAGCTCCCACTCTCTTCCCAGCTGAGCGATGGGTGAGTCCCAGGAGCTGGACCGGAGGCTCTTACCGGTACCCTCCCATCACTGGGCACCCAGTGCCTTCTGGCTGTATCCTGGCTCTCTGCTATTCCCCTCACCCCGTTTCTGTCCGTGACCTCTGGGTAGGAGGCAGGAGGGATGTGCTGCCGTTGGTCCTTCGGTGGTGGTGGTCTGGGGATGGGGTCTGTAAGGGGCACCCTCGAGCGCTCGCCTGGCAGCACGGCCTGAGCTGCAGCTCCTCTGCAAGTGGAGACAGAGATCAAAGATGATGCTAAGAGATGGCGTAGCAATTTTATTTCCTCTCCCCCAAAATTTAAAACCAGTCACCGAGTCCTTTACTTTTATAGAAAGGTACATTAAAAAGTACCACTATTATTTCTGACCCTGTTTTACAAACCCTCATGTAGTGGAGTTTGCATTCATTCGTAAAGTAAAACTAAGAGTGATTTCTTTTTTATTATCATTCAGAAAGCAGCAGCGAGCCTCCATAAGCTCAGAAGAGAACGACTCAGAGCGCACCAGCCCAGTGATGCTGGACAGCGGGCTCCTGTCCCCCCAGAACAAGCCTCACAGAAGTACGGACCCTTACCCTTACCCTTCCTTCAGGGTGCGGGTGCTGGGGTACCCCTAACCTGAGCTGCACACTGTCTTGCAGGCTGGCCAGGAATGTCACAGTCCCTGGAAATCTGCGAGGGGCTGGAGGAGTGGTCGGGTAATCAGTACCTCTCCAACTGCTCGGACACCGAGGAGGAGGATGGGAACCAGCTGGTTAGTACAGAGATGCAATAGCCCCAAAGCTCGGGGTGCTGCCGTTTTTGGTTGTCTCGCTTTGTTTTGCTTCACGGGATAATGGATGTATCTTGTCCATGTCTCACAGATTTTCCATATCTCAATTTTGGGGAATGAGAAGTCTCAGCCACAGTTTCTTGAAATAATTTTAATTAAGGTAGCTGATAGGGCTCTGTCACATTCCCTGCGGCAGTCAGAAATAACAGCTGCGTGATATGAAATGTAGCTAAATAAGATAATTTTTTTCTTAATACCACAGTCTCCAGGAAAATATAAAGCCCTTGCAGACTGCAAGAGGAGAGGATCAGAGGACCTGCTGGTGAAAAATGGAGATGAAATTCAGCTTTTGCATGAAGATGGTGAGGGACAGTGGTAGGTATTTTAGGATTACTTTGCCTTATCTCTCAAAGCCTGCAAGGCGGTCCCGTGCAACCTCGCTTGCCTGGTGATACACTCGTTGCAGCTTCTGATTAAGTTTTAGAGTATTCCAGAAAGCTAAAGAATTCATTCCCTTGCCAAGACTAGAGGCCATGCGCGCTGGCTTGGCCTGGGAAAACATGTCAGGACTTCCCTTGCCATGGGCGTCTGGGCGAGCTGTGTTTTACCAACACCTTCACAGCCCCTCTTGCCAGGCTCTTCCCACTTCAGATGATGCTTCCAGTGAGAGCCCTTTGCCCACCCCAACTCAGCTGTTGGCTTTGTTCCTCTGGGCTTATTAATGGCAATAGTGAGTAATTGCAAGACATTTTCCTCCCTCAAACAGCTGGACAGGTGTTAACTGGTTAATGGCTGCAGACCATCTTTCTGTTGTATTTAAAGCTGTGGCTCGGAAGATAACACTTCACAGCTGGTTCTCTTCTTATAGCTGGGAGCGTTGCCTGGGAAATCACCATACCCAGCCTTCTGCCTGTTGAACCATTAGTCTCCTTGTCTCAGTGAGCAGCGTGCCCTCTTCTGATTTTTGCAGCAATTTGGCTGAGATTTCTGACTATCTTTCCTTCCCAGGTTGATTTCTGACTAGCTCTCATCAGCCAGCTCGGGATCTCAGTAGGAGAGAGCGCAGCGCGCTGGTGCCTTGTTCGGGATGTGGGAAGGGTGAGATTAGCAGGACCATGGATCAGATTTGTGCAGGCACTAGCCCGTAAATGCACAGACACAAATGCCCCGTGGAGGATTCCTGGCCGACATCTGCAGCCCTCGCACTTCAAGGAAATTAGAATAGAATAGAATATTTCAGTTGGAAGGGACCTATGATGATCTTCTAGTCCAACTGCATTTTGCAAAATTCCGTTTGTTGTCAGCAAAAGCAAGATGTAAACATCTCAGTTTTGCTGAATGCTCACTGCCTCTCATCATGGTTTTGGCTAGTGCCAGGCAAAGATTTCTCACACCAAGCTTTTTTGTTAGCACAAATTTCACGGCATGAGACAGAGGGATGTCATTTATGAGTATGAGTATTTCCAGCTGCCTAAATCTTGGCTTGAATTTACTTACAGTACCCTGACTAAATTAATTCTCCCAGTCTAGCTCAATAGCAGAGAAGCAAGGAAAGATGGCTCCATCGGTAGTCAGTGGAGGAAAACTGGCATCTCCGGAGGTCTCAGGCAGGATAACACGTGCTCTGGAGAGTCCTGTTCCTCGCCATTGACTAGAGAGGGGCCCAAGGCAGCTGTGCTCCCAATGTGGGCTGTTTAATTAGGTTCCTAAATTTAGGTGGGAAGAATACTTTGAATGCATGCCCAGCTCCTGTTAAAATGCTTCCCTGGTTTGAAAAAAATTGTTGGTTGCAGCAACAGTTGTGTTGAGTGTGCCCATATCAAACTGCTCCTGAGTTGGTTTGTTTCTTTTGCTAACGCCATTGTCCTTCAAAGGTTGGTGAAAAACCTAAACAGAAGAAAAGAAGGCTGGATTCCTGTCCACAGTCTGCAGATAGTGGTCGGTGACTGCAGATTTCGGAATGCCAAAGTCGCAGGTATCATATAGCACGCCTAGCAGAAATATTTCATAACTCCAATCAGGTCTTTTAAGCCATTTGCATTACACTTGATGTACTAAATCTGGCTGCATATGCCTCTGCAGGAAAAAAACAGAAAGCAGCTACTCCAAAAAGCCTGCAAAAATAGTAGATTAAGCTTTTTTTATTTATTAACACCTTAAGCCATTTCTGTGACGTTAGGCACTAGTAAATTAAACCCAAGCATTTAAAAACGTAGAGTTCTTTGCAAGAGCACTGGGTAGAAGATCGGGGAGAAGAGGTGGAGTCTGACCAGGGATTCCCGTGACTGTTTTGCCTACTCGCTGCTGTAGCTCAAACCCCGTGTGAATAGGAGGTACCTAGGCAAAATCTCCTCCTGCTGCAAAAGACGTCGTGGCCTGACCCCCAGCACTCTAAAGGCAATACTTCATTTCTGCTGCCTCACTCTTGCCCTCATTGCCGCCTGCCTGTTAATCCTTCATTAGAATAAAGTTTATAATAAACAGGTTACCAGGTTTCAGCAGAAGGCTTCTAGTCTCAAAAATCATATTTCTCATTTTCTAGCCGTAAATGTACATAGAATTAGACAGGGAAGCATAACAGATGACACAAGAAAATGCCTTAAGAGCAGCCTGTCGCCCTTGCCATGTACGCAGCATCACCGCTCCATGCCTCATCACCGTGCAGTCCACTGGAAACGGGAGACCAGGGTTTGTGATGGGAGCAGCTCAGGAAACCCACATAGATTTAGTGTATTTTAAAAAAACCCAAAACCAGTAGTTATGACCACATGAAACAGATTTTGCAACTGTATTTCTTTTTAAATACTTCCTTTTTGTCAAAATCTATTGGTTCGGTGAACGTGAAGGAAGCCTTCGGAAAGGCTTAGGATTCCAGTCAGCTCTTGATGGTTTTCCAGCATGTTTCAGTGAAATCCTTCCTATACAGGAAGGTATTTTTTATCCCCTTTGTTGCAGGGCAGTCAGATTTCAGAGGCTGGAAGTTTTCTGACTTTACATAAGGGGTAGCTTGTAGTGGGCTAGCAGTGCAGCAGAGAGGATTCCCCTTGGCGTGCTCTGGAGCACCACGTGTTGTCTTCTCAGCAAGTCTGGTTATCACATCTTGCCGGGTCCTGGACCACAGCCTGTGCAGGAGGTTTTTCCAGCCATAAATGCATCTTGAAAACAGGGTGCTGGCAAACTTTGAGCACTGGTTTGCTTTATCAGTGGTCATATCCCCCAAAGCCTAGAGACTCGCAGCTCCAGGCTGGTTTACAAAGTTGTTGAGTACAAACTAAGGAGAATTTCACAAGGTGAAACCACAGAGAGCTCCTCCCGTCAGTCTCGCACCACTGCCCAGACACTTTGCAGTTGTGTTGCCAGGGTCTAGTCACAGCACTGAGGCTCTCTTTTCCCTGTTAAGATTAACTCTGTTCTCTCCTGCGATTGCTGATTGTGTATGCAGTCTCTAGGCATGATTCTAATTTTACATGCACTCCAGGCAATATTGTAGGATGATGTAGGATGTTTTCTTGCTATTTCCTAGAGCTATTCCTAGAACTTTTTCGTGATGTGTCCTTATAGCCCTAAGGACAACTGCACTCTGAAAACCCATTTTCAAACAGTACCTTTGCATTTAGCAATTCCCTTTCTTCTGCAGACTGGTCATTTTATACTGCAGGTGGCTTTGTACCATTGACTGCTGGGGGATGCAGTCTGGATTGGGCTCTTTTCTGCTTCTTCAGAAGATGGAGCTCTTGCTCCAGTATAGCAGAGGGAGAATTAGGCAGCCAAGCTTGAGGAGCAAAGTAGGGGCAGGAGTGAGCGCAGTAACCCACACATATTATTAACTGCTTGTGCTGAAATGCTGTTTTGCATGTAAACAGAGTAAACTTGATTAATATGTAGTGGGTCCCCAAGAGCTTAGAGCGTGCTGGAGTCGCTTCAGAGCTGGGGCAGAGGCAGTCCTGGCCCTTTGCAGGGGTAGTGCCTCTGTTATTGCTAAGCTCCAGGTTGCCACAATAAATAAAAATATATCTCCAATCATAGAATTTCATAACCAGAATTCGTACAAATCTGAGATTGTGGTTTTTTTCAGTGCAAAGCCCTTAGCTGAATAGATGAAATGGTTCCCTTACCTTAATGTTTTTTCTTGGATTTATACTGTGGCCCTAACAAAAACCTCCCACCACAGGATGGCTGATATCTTATGCTTACAAGCGGTTCCTCTCCCCTCCTGCTAATTATTCCAGTGTTGAGCCAGTGCAAATCATAATGAAGTTTTTTTTTGCTGCCCATTTTAAGTTATCAGATGTGTATTTGGTCAATGTCCCACTCCCCCACCATTGCCAGCTTTGCAAATCCACCGTCCCCCTGCACCCTGCCTGCTGAGGGACAGCCTATGTGTAAAGCTGAACTTACAACACCCAAACGAATCCACAGATGATTTTTTTCTTCCTTTCCCCACCTGGTTGCATAGGTCATTTTCCTTATAGGTGAGTGGTTACTATTGGCAATGCCATGTAACTGTTGATAAAACAAGTATTTTGGTCCAAATCTGCTTTTGCAAAGGTGGTGGTGATGGGGAAACATTATTAAAATTTTTGTAAATCTTGGCCTGGATATCAGCCAGGAGTTTTTTTGGGGGGAAGATGACTGGCTTGGAGGTGAATTTGAAAACAAGTTTTCCTTCTGGTGTGCCTCTAGCTATAATTTCTGAGATTAGTTCTTGCTGCTTTCTGAGTAGATTTGTTCTGTCTCCTGTGCAAATCCATGGTGGATTTTTTTTTTATGTGTATGCTGTAGGAATAGTTTTGCATCGCAGGTGATAACATGCAGGTCTCAAAATGGAAAAGATTTGGAGCAAACTCTGCTCAGAAAAAGCAATATTCAGAAAACAGCTGCTGCTGAGATTTACTTGCGTGTTGCTAGTTTAAGCTGCCTTGCTGAAGTGATCAGGCATTGCCTGGTTAACTGACTTGACTTTTATTTGAATTAACAAGGAAATGCAAGATTATCTCTTCATTTCCCTTGTGCAAGACACACATCTTGGGGAAGGTGAAGGCTGCAGTGTTACAATCCCAACTCCTCTTGCACAGTGGGGCAGGAGACTAAACATTTCTGCAAGTCCCCTGGTTGCTAACGTGCCAGAGCACTGACAGCATCTGTGCATCTTGCCTCTCAGCTGCCCTGCAGCACCCACTTCTTGGCAAACGGAGAGCAGGGAGGGCAGAAATGAGGTCTTTGCCCTAACCCAAAGGAGATGCGTGACTCGTTTTTACTTCAGTGACACAGTGCTCATGTCCAGCAGCACCACAGCCTCCACTCTCATCCAGGTTAAGCTCTGTCCCTGCTCTTCTTTTCTCTCAGCAATGGTAAACAGATGCAAGCAAAAGGAAACATGCTGTTTGCTCCTGAATATTCACATCCAAGCAAAATGGGGCCAAAGCATTTTCAGCTTTTTTCACCTGACCTTTAAGAGCTGAGCAGAGAGAAGGGCGAGTATCCAATTCCCACTTGCTGCGTGGAGGTTACATGAGACTGTTCTCTTTTAGAGAGAGCAGGAAATAGAGTAGCCTGGATAAAAAAAGGGATTCAAATGAAAAATGGAAGCAGAGGTAAATACTTTTACTTATTATTTATATAAAAGAAATATTGCTACAACTTTGAAGTTCTTTTAAACAGCAAAAAAGTTATGTGGCAGAATTTGCCCTGAGCCCAAAGGCAAGGAGCGTTCAGAGCAGGCATGGAAGGATGCTCTGTGCCAAGGCAGGCACCCCCACCCGCTTGATTTAAGGAGGACGCAGGCTCTTGTTCTACACCCCGGCCCCTCTCCTAGTTTGTTTTAACACCCCACTTGCCAAATTATCTCTTCCAAGCCTTAAGGGGATCCCCTGTATGTGCTCTTCATGCAATAAAGCTGAGTAAAGGTTTCCCCCACTGGTAGTGCCTGAAGGACGGAGCTTGCTATCCTGTGCTCCTGCTGGCCAGGGCGGTGGGGATCGTCCTCTCGGCTGTCATGAGCTTGAGGCAACCCTTTACGTGGCTCCCTAGGCCATGTGGTTTGAATCTGCCCGATAAAGAGTGTCGTACGTGGCTGAACTCTTGAGCTCTTGCAGGCTGGCATAAGCATGTTAGCTGAAATGCGCAGGTTTTGCCTAAGTTCTGTTTAAAATGCCACTTGGAGTTTTGCAGATGCAGCCCAGCTGTTTGCACTATTACTCACGCACTTTAATGATTGCAGCCACAGGCTTTTGTATTTATGCAGGGTCCATTAAAGGTAATGTTGATTTCTTTTTGGCCTTTGAAATGTAAAGCAGGGTCTCCTTACACAACCTATGATGCCAGCCAGCTTCACAGAACAGATATTTAGTATTGCTGTAGAAAACCATTTTGAGCCTGACACAATAAGGGGTATAGAGAAGATATCAGCTGGCCGCGCTGTGATAATCAAGTGATAGATGATGGAAATGAGTCAAACCCTGCGGTCCTGCCTTAGGCAAGGCTCTCGCTGAAACTAGTGGGAGTTCAGCTTTTAGGAAGAACTGCAGGAGTGCACTTATTTTTTTTTTTATGTGACACAAATGTTACGTGATTACAGGGAACAATGTATTTCTTGGAATAAGATGCTTTAATATTAACATCATTCTTCATTACTTTATAGATGCTGCCCTGTGTAACACGAGAAAGTTTAGTTCCCCTTGAATTAAGGGTGAACTAGTAGCATCCTATTTTCGATGCTCTTTGGAAGCTTTCAACTAAGTGTTACAGAGAAATAGCACAATAGTTGGAGTTGTCCTGTACTATTCATCACATTCACAGACCTCCACAGCTTCATCTGCACTGAACAGGACCGGGGTCCTAAGCAGCTTCTCATAGTCATAAAGGAAAGCCATTCTCTGCTCTTTCTTTTTTTTCTCCTATGGAAAGTACAGTATTTTATTAATTTTACCTGCTGTTTTTCCATGACATCCATCACGTTTCATCAGAGAAGTACACTACAGTTTCCTGACACTTTGTTTAGATGCTTGAAATTTCCTCTACAGGTTGAAGGCTTTACCTACTTATTAGCTAACAACTGTTGAAGTTGCAAATAAAAGAGTTGAGTTTTGGTAAACCAAAAAAAAAAACCAAACCAAACCAAACAAAGAAGGTGTATTTCCTGCTTAATTGATTTTATAGATGGATTTCTCTTAAATATCTACTTCAGCTATGTGAATGTAATGTTCTGTAAGAGCATCATCTGGCCGACTCACATGCGAAGATGCAATAACGCTAAAGATCCTCTTTTTGCACTTAGGGTCTGACTCCAGCCCATTGCGGTCAGTCCCCTCGATTTCAGTGAGGTTGGATCAGGTCAAACTGACAACTCAGGGTTGTCGCCAATCACGTAGGGTCCCAAAGCGTCCCAAGGCTGAAACCTGTATCTAGCAAGTGTTGAAGTTTACATTAAATGTATGTACTTTTGGAACACGTGCCATAAATCAAAGTTAAATGTCCATGTTTGCACTAAGGATGTTCTTGTGATAAGACTGTACTTTTCAGCATCTTTAACAGTTATGTATCTATTGAATTTTTGGGAGAGAAAAAAAGAATATTGAACACTCATAATTCAATTTTGTGTTTCTTTGTCTAGTTTTGCTTTTGTAGAACATAGGTACAGGTGGTTTGACTTAAGCAGATGTGTGCGAAGAGCATCTGACTGTTGAGAACAGGGTTAATATTATGCATGCGGTAGTGAATTTGCTCTGTCCCGTCCAAATGAAATGTTTTTTTACCGTGAACTAAAGGGGGACCTCTATGATCTGACTTTGATTTGTGAACCATGGATTCTTAGACACAGTTGCAAATTGTTAAGTTAAAGCATACTGGTGGTTTATTTTCTTTTTGGTGACTGTTTTTGTATGGAGGAATTGTTGAACTACTTGATGGCCGTGGTTGCCCGAGGGGTTCTCCACCATGCTGGCGCGCAGCGGTGGGCATTTCTCCAGTTCAGGTGGCCAGTATTACGGGTACCCCCATACACCCTCAAAAACGTGACCAGCTGAGTGTGAACTGCAAGACCTAGAAAGATCCCAGTATTCTTCGGCCACTGGCAATCACCGCAGGGAGGTTTTAAGTCACTGAAGGTTATTTCCATCTACTTAAAAATCGGTCACAATGCACTTGCTAGGTGGAAAAGTAGGAGTATCTTAAGTTCCTGTCGGGGCTCTTTATAGTGGTAACAATTCTTGTGGTAACAGTACACATTTTGAGGTACAACTGTAAATATTTGTCTCAAACATAGCACACATGGCATATTAAATGGTTTTAATCTTTTTTGTCTTCCATAGTTTTAAATCTAAGCTTTTATTAATTTATGAGGTTGATAAGTTCTGCAAATCTGAATGTACAGTCTGAGATTTTTAACATTTGAAACTTTGCACACGACATGGTATGTTACCTTAAGTATGCTGTTGAACTAGGCTTTTCATGTATATGTATAAATTACAGTAGAGAGTTTTCTCTGCAAGTTTAAATGAGCTATATTGTATATGTACCTGTAAAAAATGTGTTAAATCTATATTTAAAGATTAAAAACTTGTTGAATAAATTCACATGAGAATATGCACTTCTGTCCAAAGACACCTCTGCTATAATTCTAGAGAAAAAAAAATAATTCTCACGGTGTCGGTTTTATTTAATTTCTTCGGAACAAATATAACCTTCTTACATGAATTTTGATTTTAAAATAAGCAGTGCAGATGATCCGATTAGCTTCTTGCTGGATGTAGTGGCAGTGAAATTGGGAGAGGCACCTTAGTGCTCATACTGATGTCTGAAATAGCAGCTATGGAAATCCTGCCCTTGCTCAGGCTGTCTCCATCATCACCCTCCTCTGCATCCCAGCACCGGGCAGCGCTGGCAGGAGGGACCTCCGGGCTGGGGGCCATGGGACCTTGCTCATGGGTGAGGGCACAGGGGCTGTGCAGGCATCAACAGCCCTTTTGCAGGTGAGGGGTGGGGGGGAGAGGTAGTCTTGGGGGCACATCTTACTAGGCGGGAGGGAGGGAGGACACCCCCTGTCAGTGGGTTTCTGCCTGTGGGGCCATGCCGTGGTCCTGTGTGCGGTGCCGGCAGCGTGGTAAAGCCTGGGCACGAGCTGCCCGTGTCAGGCATCGTGGTGCAGTGCCTGAAGGCCCTGCCGATTCCCTGTGCACCCTTGGAGTTTTCCATGGAAGAGGATACAAGAGGAACCGATGTTGAGCAGAGGTAAACCTCCCTTCCTCTGGGATTATTGCCTTCCCTCAAAGTTGGGAACTGCATTAAGCCCACTTGAATCAGCCTGACAGAGGACCTCTGCCCAGCATAGCCTTTCCCTGGGATGTCACCTCCCTTTCCCTGTGCCTCGGTACCAGCACCCATCCCAGGTTTCTGCCACCCACTCACACTGGGGTGTCCCATGCTGTCTGCACTCGGGGGTCCTCCCACAAGCTCCTTTGGGGAGGGCAATGCACCATCTCCATCACTACCAGCAGCATCTGTGGCTGCAGTCTCTAATTTAACATGATTAATAGGAAGACCAGGACAAGTAATGAGCACTAAGCAGTTCTCTTTATAATCCTAACAAGACTCAGCAGAAATCATTAGCATAAAGCCTGCCAATACCTTTAGATGAGTTTTATACAGATTTTAGATCATTTATACAGCCAATTTTATGCCATCCTGTAGCAGGAGGAGCGTTACCTGCTGCCCCTCATCCATGTCAGCCCAGCTCATGTGAAAACATCTGGGAGAGCACCGTGGGTGCAACGTGTTCACCTCCCTCGTGGGCTCCTGCTACAGGGATGGTGCTGGGTGCTGGTGCCCAAGGCACCCAGTGCCTGCTGGGCTCCCCTTGCCCGTGGTGCTGTGCAGCAACCGTGGGCAATGCTGGTGGCACACTGGCCCAGGGCACGTGTCAGCCATATCCCAGTTCATCCACACCAGCCTCTGCATTTGGGATTTGGGGACTTAAACCATCTTAGCGGTGCCAGTGCATTCAGGAATGCAGTCATGGGTAATTAAAAGGGCTTTTTATTTCCTTATTACCACATTTCCACTGCATTCTCTCAACTTCTGCCTTCCAAGAGCAGAAATTAGTTCATTTAGAAATGTTTATTAAAACACAATGATTTCTGAAAAACATGTAGATTGCTATGGTTTCTCTTTAACTAACCAGTCCATCCCAAAGCACGGCGTAACCTCCTGTGGGTTAGGTAAGCCTCGTGATTTCCTTTATCCACTTCAGGTACTTGGAGACCCTGGTGTAGATGCCGTATTTACCAGGCTTGGCACATTCCTCACCCCAGCTGGTGATCCCCGTGAGAAACCAGGTGCCCTCAATCTCGGTGGTGTAGGGACCTCCACTGTCCCCCCCACAGGTGTCACTGCCCCCAGCCGGGAAGCCTGCACAGAACATGTTCTGCAGGATGGTGGTGGAGGTGCTCTTGAGGCAGGTTGGCCGGTCAACAAAAGGCACCTTGAGGACCTGGAGGATGGTGGCCGGCCGGCCACGGAAAAGCGTGCTGCCCCAGCCGCTCACTGTCCCCATCCCGTGCTTCAGGAGGGTGTTGGTGAACTCCCGGTTGCCAATGCAGATGGGGGTAACGTAGCTGTTGAAGCTGAGTGGCTGGTCCAGCTTCAGGAGGGCGATGTCGTTGTGATGTTTGTTGATCGTGGCATTGTACATGGGGTGGGGAAGGATTTTCACCACTTTACGCTGCTGCTCTGTGTTGTCTTCCTCATTGGTGTTGTATTCACCTGCAGAGACAAGAGTGGCGTGGGCTGGACCCCTCCATGGCTGGGCCAGCGACCATGCCCTGATGATGCCATCCCGAAGCAATACCAGCCCAGCCGGGTGGTTGCAAAGGGATGAGTGCTGCACACCCCAGCCCTCAGGCTGCTCTGAGCCCAGTGATGGCAATGCTGCTTGCTCCTTCTCGAAGGGCTTTGGAGGTTCCCTCATGGCAGCTCCTCCATGGTCTCCACAGCTGCAGGACCTGAGCCCTCAAAATGTGACCCTGGGTATGCACCAGCTGAACGAGTGCTAAAGGTCCGAATGCTTTTGCCAAGGTTAGCAGCAATGTGGGTGTTTTGGGGATTTAGCACCCTCAGAGAGATGTAAGGGGCTGTTGCACTTGCACCAGAGGGGGGACAGCCTCTAGAATTAAAAATCTTTACTTAAAATACATCATTTATTAGTGAAAAGAAACCTGACCTTCCCTTTTGTAAAATCACACAACCACGGGGCAGAATGAGGTGCAGGGGGCTACCAAATGCTTCCCCCTCCTGAGATGCTCACAGGTGCCCCTGGGTCCCTGCTGCCCCCACGAGGTTCAGCTGCTTGCGATTGCAGGGTGCTGCCGGCAGCTTCAGGCTCCTGTGATTGAGTTGCTGGCAGCCTATTGCCTCCCCTCCCGGCTTGTGTAACAGGTAGAGGGAAGAGGAAAAATGTTTTGTGGTCTCGGGTCAGCAAATGGGCAGCATCTGGGTCTGTCTATAGCCGAATCCCCTCTCCTGCCTGTGAACTGGTTGTGCTGAAGGTTCAAGAGCAGGATGACTTCTCCCGCTTGCTTTCTCGCAGCCCAAGAGGTGCAGGGTGCGTTTAACCCCTGCTGCGGTATTTCTCTATGCTTTGCTGTAATCTCCAGAATATACCATCTCCTCTAAACAATATCTGCAGCGCTCCTGGCCCTGGCAGTGTCCTGTGTCTGCTGCGTCTGCCTGCGAGGAGCAGCACGGAGCCCAGCGAGAGAGGTGAGGCAGCTTTCTGTGTTCACGTTAATGCTGGTGCCTGATGAAGGCAGATTTGGTGGCTGGTGCTGCTGATGTGCTCTGCGAGGGGGTTTTTGCAGCGGAGTGTGAATGTCAGCTTCCTCGCAGGCTGTGTTTCTACAGTGTAAATGCAAGACAGATGTGGGGGAGACTTTCAGAGGGTTTTTCTTATGCTATGGCTGCTTACTATTGCTGGGGACCTGAAAATATGCTTCAGGGATGAAAGTGGAGAGGAAAAGAAGGACAGGGGAGGGGAATGTTTCTTCCACCCCCTGCTATCAATTTTTGGGCCTCCTAGGATGCTATATACAAAGCTGAACATTTAACATGAATGGACGTGGAGGACTTGGATGTTGCCCATGCCGTGTATGTGGTGCAGGCACAAATTCAGTAGTCCCTGTAGCCCTGCAAAATTGTGTTTTGTTTTCTTGACTTGCTGCCTGTCCAAAACCCTGCCCTGGAAACCCAGTGCTACTGCAGAGCAGTGTGAAGGTAGTGGGAGGGGATTTGGCTGATAATGTATCCTAAACGGAGGGGGTGCAGGAGAGCCCCTGAAAGGAGAGGCAGTTTGCATGCGGATGCAGGAAATGCAGAACCTCTGTCCAGGTGGAAATGTGCTTTTCTGGGGGGAGGCTGCTTTTGCACTGGACATTTTGTACTTTTTCACACTAGCGGGTGCAAGGCTGGACTTTGTGCTGGGCTTTCCAGCAAAACTGCCTGGAAGTAGATAGCAAAAAATGCTGTGTGCAAGCTGCGAGCCTCATCCTGCCAGCACAGGGCAGGTGGTGCCCAGCCCCATGGCACTCCATCTCCAGGCACTCGAGCTCCCCAGGAGCTCAGCCACGTTAATGTGGAAGATGAAGATGCAGCTGAAGCCCTCTTGGTGAACTTGTTTCTGATGTAAACTCAAGGCTTCCAGGCTCAGGTAGAATGTCTTTTTTGTCATTTCATAGTGTTTAAACAAAAAGCATGATTCTTCCATGCCTCCTTTCAGGGCTACTTGTAGCAATTACTACATCAGTGTTCCCCTACTGTACCTCGCAGTGTAACCCCCCTATACTAGATATTCATCCAGGGGAGAAACAGACAATTTGGGGAAGCTGATTCTGCCGCAGCCATGAAACATGGCACCACGATGCTTGCCAAGTCCCCGCACTGAGTTATCAGCAGTCTGCCTAGGAGGCAGTATGGAGCAGCTGGGTACCAAGAGTCAGGGGGAAACACCGTATTTCAAGCAGAGATACATTTGTTTTGTAAAGTATCAGCATCGCTTGCCATGCAGTCTGGCCACACTGCCCCTGCCTAACTCCTCAGAGACCCTGCTGTAAAAGCACACTCCCACATGCCAGCCCAGTGTCTCTACTTCAATTCATAAAATTCTATTTACTGCTAAAGAAGTTAGAAGCCAAAGTAGTCATCTTCTCCTTGCAAGGAGCTAGTCAGGTTACTGGTGTCCCTCTTGCACCAGCCACAAAAATCCATTCTCTGAGAGTTGTGTGAAAACTTAGCATGACACCCAGAAGAGCAGAAAACCCTAATGAGGTCCTACGTGGTCAGCAGAGAAAAAAATCCATCACACCAGCTCATGAAGCAGCATCTTAACTGAAGTCCACTGGGTTTTTAAGCAGCCTGGGGTCCTCTCTGGCTCAGATGAGCTTGTCCATGTTCAGGTTGAGCTGCATTTACGACACGGTCCAGCAGCTCCGTGGCTTTGGGATCAAGGCCAGAGCCAGCTCACTGCTCCCACCGGAGATGGTGGTACCTGCAGAGACCAGGCTGCCGAAATGCTGCAATCTGCAACCGGGGCCTCGGTGCCCTAAAGTAACTTGTGCCACATTGCTGCCTGTCATGGTGGTGTGGGTCCCAAGGTTCTGTGCGATGCTTTGTGCCTGGCCAGTGCAAGCCCTGTCCCACATCCCTCACCCACGCTGGCCCAATGCTGTCTGAGGTGCTCACCTGCTACGGCAGTGACATTGTCTCCTGGCTTCAGGCAGTGTGCTGCTGTCACTAACCATTTCTCGTTGATGATGGATGCACCACAGAAGCCCACGCCATGGCTGTTCACCAGATGAACCTGTGGGAGCAGAAGGAAATCAAACCCGTGGGTTTGTGTAAATCGGTGGGGAAGAAGAGTGGGATGCAGGGATTTTATCTGGCTGTAGGACAGGCTGCGTTTTGGTTGTACAGACCCAGTGCTGCCAGAGATGCTGCTCCTCGGGGAGTCCCTGTCCCTCCGTCCCCAGCTCTGTCACAGAGCATGGTCAACGCCACCCCACACATGCGTTAGTGCCCCGTTGCACTTCTGCTCCTTTTGCTGTCAGGCTGGGAGGGCATAAACCTCATCATAAAACTCAGAGGGTCCAAAATACAAGCACTTCCACAAGCACCTCCTAAAAGTGTTTTGCCAGTGACTAGATCTTAACTAGGGACAAAATCTTAACCGTCCATTTCATTTGGGCATCTAACTGCCTCAGCGCTTATGGGGCACAAGCCAGGACATTCCTTATGCTAAAACTTGTAATTAAATTGATCAGCTGACTTGCTGGACTGTGTTTAAAAGAAGGATTTCTCATAATTCACCCATTTTGTTCTTTTCACATGGCGTGACTCATCACTGTCCACATATTTACTGTTCCACGGATTTACTCATTTGATGCCTTGTTAGGCAGAGCCAGCTGCATTTTAAGGAGCTCAGTATCCATAATGAAGAGGACAAGGCTTGCCCATGGTGATGAACCAAAGTGCCTCCACACCCACAGCCATCCCCATCCCCTGCATCCCCTGTGGGCTTTGCCCCAGGAGCTCCAGGCCGTGCTGCAGGAGGGGAGCGCAGGCTGCCGGTGGCGGCTGTTGCCACGGAGCCCGGTGCCCACACATGCCTGCGGGTGCCAGCATCACCTATGGTTTGTCCCACAAAAGGTTGTGCTAGAAAGCTCTGTGTGGCCAGGGCAGTGGTACGGCCTCTTCCTTGCAGACACAAAACATTGCCTCTCAACAAACCTCCTGCTGCTGCTTCTGGTGGCCGTGTGCATCCCCAGCACATTACTGGCTTTTTCAGCTCTGAAATGGAGGGCAGATGCCCGCTCCTGACCTTTCTACGTACACCCTGCTCACCGTTTCACTCTCTCAGAAGATGTAGAGGGATTGGAATGGGCTGCCCAGGGCGGTGGTGGAGTCACCATCCCTGGAGGTGTTTAAGAAAAGCCTGGACGTGGCACTCTAGTGCCATGGTCTAGTTGACATGGGGGTGTTAGGGTAAAGGTTGGACTCGATGATCCCAGAGGTCTCTTCCAACCAAGTCGATTCTGTGATTGACTGATCTGCGTGAACGGGCATTTATGTCCCTGTGTGAGCAACTTTTCATTGACGTCACCAGTGTTGGTCTGTACCAGAGCTTGCAACAGAAAAAGATTTGCCATTCCTAAAACCTCATCTGAATTTATTATTTTGCACTCTCAGCCACTGAGATTTCTGTGCTCATGAAAGTCAGAATAGAATTTAAGGGCAGTAGATGATTTTGAAAAAGATCCAAACTAGGAGCTAACCTTCCTTTTGACAACAATTTAAAAGTATTTGCAGAGCGATGGGTTGGAGGAGGTTTCTTTGCAGCCAGTTCGCCCCCCCCCCCCGCCCACCCCACCTGTGATGTCACTTTTGGTGAGGTAGAGAGGACTAGGATGTCACAAGTTGGATGAAGAAAGAGCAGCTGGATTTGGTAGGTGTCATACAAGGACAGATCCTTTGTTGGTAGAAATTATCATGGATCTGTTGAAACTGATGGAGCCAAAAAATGAGCTGCATTGTTCCTTGCAAAGTTGTGCCTTGCAAAGCTCTCCTCCCTCAGCCTTTGGCTTAATTTTCATAAATTCATGGACTACTGGGGAATCTGTTGCTATAGCTCAAAAGGAGATTCTTTGTGCCCTGCCAGATAAAGCTGCTGTGACTCTGACTTCTAGCTTTTTTGCCAGGGTAGACCCCCAACCAGGCAAGTTTTGTTGCTGTGGCAAACAGCTGTGTACAGAAGGAAGCTGGGATCCTGTTAGAATTGAGATCTATTGCTAAACTAACCTCGGAGACAGGCTTTAGGTATGTAGAAGTAAGATGATCCTGCATTCAGAAGGAAATGAACAGACAGAGCGATCGCTGGGGTTACAGGAGAGCTGCAGAAATAGCCAGTACCTGCCAAGGCACCTCGCCTTTCATGCTGTCTGATCCACCAACAACCCGGGTGCCTGTCTTAATTATGGGTGTGATTTTCGTGGTGGCGGCAGTGCTGGTGTCCGTGATGTTATCAAGCACCTCGTCATCCTGGTCATCTGCGGTGATGTTCCAGTGCTCAAAGGTGTTTATGGCTCGGGTGAGCTTGTTCTTCACTTCAGGAGCCGTGATCCTCCCGCAGGGATACGGCACTGGGAGAGAAACAGTCATGGTTACGACTGGCTGCACAACACGCAAAGAGTTACAGAGACTGAAGGAGCAGGCGAGGAAGCAAATGCTGCCTCACCTCAGCACCCTCTTTTGGGACCAACACGGGAGACGCGGGGCCATGGGATGACCCTGTGCTCTCTGTGCAAACAGATGCCTGCGCCTTTGAGCCGCGCTGTAGGTAATATGTAAGAGTGGCAAAAGCGTAAATTGTTTCTGGGCTTGACATCTGAAGAGATTTTTAAAAGAAGCAAGCTTGTGAGACAGAGAGGCGCAGGTCTGACGGGACGGTGCAGCTGTGCCTTTATTTCGCGGGATGCTGCGGTGCATACCTGGGAGGCTTGCTGCGGTAGGCAGCCGGGCACTTGGCTGACATTTCTACAGCAAGTAACTCCAGTACAATAAAAGTCCAGCTGGGAGAGGGCAGGAAATAATATCTGCCAATTGTACAGATAATCCTGCTTGGCACCAAGGTGAGGAAAACATTAATAAACTCTTTCTAGAGTTGTAGATTTTCTTTGTTAATGAAGATCTCATCTGTAGGCTCATTTCAGATGAGCTCTTCCCATTTCTCTCCTACGCAGAGTTTCCTGCTGACAGTGGCAGTCAAAATAGTAAATAGCATCAGGCATTGTCTTTCATCTGAAAACCTTTTGACAGCACTGTGCAAACAAATACTAGTGTAAAATCAGATGTAAGTGTGGCCTACTGAGTTGTGTGGTGTTTTTTTTTTTTTTTTTTCAAACAGTCTGCTTTAGAAATAGGGCTTAAATAAGTGTTGAGTGATGGAAAGTGCTACCTGTGAGGTTAGGCTAGGAAATGAAAGTTTCAAAGCCAACAAAAGCTGAGCTTTTGCAGGAAGGGCAATTACCCAACCTGAAAGACGATCTTATTGCTAACAGTAAAACCTCCTGGTCAAGTGCAAGTGATACAGCATGTTGGACAACACAGGTCTGAGCTCTTAATAATCTCCATTAACAGCAGGACTCCCAGCCTAAGATACTTCCTACACTGATTGCTGAAAAGTCAGCACTTTCAGGAGCTCAAAGTGTTCCTGGCTGTAGCCAGCAGACCTTCAGAAACTAACTCACCTGTGCAGGTGCCTGCATGCTAGCTTAGGTGTGCAAATCTGTTACTCTCAGGTATTAGAAATATGATAGCATCAAATGTTAAATTGACCTTAGATGAGAAAACACTTCCCTACTCAATCGCCTCTGCCAGATGTGCTTCTGAGATGTTCATGGCCAATTAACTTGTTGTGTTGCGGTAGGTTGCGAATGCACATGTTGGTGTAGTAACAGATATTGTTAACAGCCTAGGAGCAGGGTAAAGTTGGGGAATATAACAAGAATTGGCTATTCAGTCACACTTTATGAAGTTGCAACCTCAGGCAATGCATTGCCCATCCCACCCACTCAATACCAGAGCTACGCCACGGAGTCTAGTTACCATTGAGGGTCTTTGTGTGCAGAGACACACTGTTGGGAGGACAGCACCACCACAAAGCTTCACTTGTTTCCACCCAACTCAGGTAATTATAAGACACTCTGTGATGGCCAGCCATGAAACGGACCATCAGGAGGATTTACAGTAAGAAAGATTGTCTTGTGTTCTGAAAAGGCCCAGATCTTCAGCATAGGATCAGTAACTAAGTTGTAGCTCCTATTGGAAGAACACAGGAGTGAGCTCTGGCTGGCTGGACACAAGCGCATATGCTGGTGTAGCTGAACATCACATTTCTGCCCCCAGAAAATTACTGATCTATATATGGAAATACAAGATGGCTGCAAGTGGGAGAGGTGCCAGTGCAAGCAGCCATCTGAAACAAGCATTTGCCTTGTGAACAAATTCCTGGACGTCTAGCCTCCTTCTCCACCTAGGCTGAAAAAAGGGTGTTTAAATTGCATCCTTCAAGCCTGACCCCACATCCACTGTTTGGGTCAGGCTCTTTACATTTGCTAAGCTGGAAAACAAGGCTGGTTTTTAACGGGATACTGCATTTCTATGAGATTCATGTATTTAAATTAAATCCAGGACAAGACCTTGGAAACTTTCACCCAAATCTCTTAAAAACACTTTAAAAGTTAACCTGTAGGTTCACAGGACTTTCCATCTTCATGAAGTCTATAGCCAGCAGCACAGGAACACATAACTTTCTGCGGTGGGTCATGCCTGCAAAAGTGCTTACAGCCTCCATTTTTAACAGCACAAGTGAGGTCTGAAAGAAATTAAAATGAAAATGTGAAAGCTCTTTTGAAATACAACTGGTCAGAGATTTGTTGGGACTTGGGCCTTTGGGCTCAGCCTATAACCCGCTCTGGTTGTTCCAGGCTATGGAAAACAGATGTTTGTTTGCAAGGAGAGTGTCCTCCTTCCAAATCATATCCCTGCTCGTAATGAAGGAGTGCTGGGCACCTCTTTGAGAAGGCAAGTTGAGAAATGGCCCTGTGAGAGGTCCCGCCAAGCCCTGGCACAGCCTCCTGCCTCCAACAGCTGCGTGCTGTCTGAAATTTGGCAGCCTGACCGTAAAGGACTCCTGCAAATATTTGGTTACGAGCCACGTGGTTTCCCCACTGTTGTGCTGTTTTCCTGCCCCCTCATACTTACGGCAATCCAGCCCCGGCGTGGATGCTAGCGGAGAACGCTGTGTGTCAAATGGGAGCAAACCCTGAACCTAGGAAGGGCTATGTCCTGGGATCATTGCTGGGCTCCGAATTTAAAACCTCAAGCAAAGCCATGTATTCTTCCTGACATACCAATAAATCATCACAGCCTGACGTGGAAGGCCCGTTTCAGCATGACATTTGATGAACCTCATCAAACCTCACCTAGTTGGAGATGTCCCTGCTCACTGGGGGGGCTGGACTAGATGACCTCTAAAGGTCCCTTCCAGCCCAAATGATTCTATGAAATAGGCCCCAACTTGAGGCACGGCGACATTCCTGTGACTTGAGCGTGTTTTCTCCGACCCCACCTCACACTCCTCTGTGTTGGGAACACCATTTCTTGGAGGTGGGAAATCACTAATCTGCAGCCGCCCTTTTAATTCTCGGTGAGTTTCCAAATAACTTCACAGCAGATTAACTCCACTCCTACTTCCTCAAGGACACCTCCCTTCCTGTAGCCATTTTAATGCCATCATTTACTATTTTTACAGAGCTCCTTTTCACGCCTCACTTCTAGCTCTATTTTTGTTCCTGTCTCACTTCCACGAGAAATCAGCAATGAGACTATTTAAATTTGATGCAGCTTTGAAATGCTCTTTTTAACATACACTCCTCTCTTACCAGAGCAGAAGCACAACTAGAAAGAGAATCTTTTATTAGTGCAGTGAGTCTAGCACATTATGCGAGTTGCACAGCCCCTGATTATATTATAAATATAAGAGCTGAAATATCCCTCTTGCTTAAATTATCAGCTGTTTAGTTTTCACAAACTCCTCAACCCATCAGGAAAATATTTGCCTTTTGTTTGCCTTCAGAATCAAGGTTGCTGGCGATAATTATAATTATGAATTTAGCAGAGTGCCACTGAGAGGAGGTTGCGGTAATCCTGCCCTGCTCAGCACCTGCTGCCCAGCCTGGCATCGGAAATGGAGAGGAGCAATGAGAGCATGGGGGCCCCATCAGGGTCGGTGGAAAACTGCTGCTTTCGGCAGGTGAGCACGTCGTCCCTGATTGACGAGCAGCCCCAGAAAGGCTTGTGCTGGGGAGATAAAGGAAGGTCTCTGTGTCAACATTTGCGCTGGCAGCCACAGTGTGCTGAACAAAAGACCTTGAGCCTGAGTCTCTGTTGAACGCTGGGTAAGAGCAGGGATCTCGGTGCTCAGCGGAGGTGGAGCTGGGGCTCCATCAAGGACAGGAGAGGACAGAGACATCTGCCTCTGTATCCCCAAGCATGTCCTCCTGTAATCCCATTGCCACCAGGCTGAATTTGCACATTCATGCAGTGCCCTTCAGCAAGGCAAAACGTGTCTGAAACAGCCCTCTAGTAGGATGAAACTCTACGCCCGCTTTGATCTGATGGGATTTCAAGTAGGGCAGAACAACCACCGGACAAGCCCCTGGTACGTACCTATCTCACAGTTTCTGCCTTCGTACCCAGGGGGACACCAGCACTCATAGGAACTCACCGCATCCTTGCAAACGGCTCCATTTTTGCATGGATTAGGGTCGCACTGATCTCCATCTTGGAGAGAAGACAGGAGAATTAACGAATACAAGCGTCTGCCATGGTGGTGCTGACCAAGTGCTGGAGCCTTGCTCTGTGCAAGCCTCCTGCTAAAGAGGAGCAAGAAACTGCACACCTTCATCCTTTATAATAGAAAAGAAGTCAGATCCTAGCACCCAAGTGCACAACAGTGCTTTACCCAGAGTCCTAATTATGTACCCTGTCCCGTGTGGGTTAATTCTGCTTGTTGCAGCAGAGCTCCTCTTCGGTCTCCCTCATGCAACATCTCAACAGGACCTCATGTCTTGGCTAAATTAGACAGACAAAGTTAGAAGGTTTGCTTCCTCAAGAGTGGTTAGGATTTCCTAATCTGAATTATTTTAATACTACTTTATTCTCTGAAGGTTTGGGTCTGTCCACTTGGGTTTGGAGACCTCTGTGTGCATTAGGATCAAGAGCCTCAGTCTTGCTCTTTTTCTAAGTCTTGTACTACTATTGACTGGTCTAGATTTTTCTTTCCATGTCAGGGCTTTTATTTTCACAGTTGCCTACAGCTGAGAAACTGAGGCTTTAATAAAAATACCCAGTATTGCAAAATTCGTGATCTAACACTTTGGAAGAGTAAGTCAGTGACGTTAAATTACAGGGAAGTAGTTGGAAATGGTTATGCAAAGGCAAGGAGGAAGGGGAATGTCTTGATGCATTTGTGTCCTGCCAGTAAGTGTGGCTATTAACGGTGTTTTCCGGAATGGGCTGGAATGCAAAAGGCAGATTGCAAATGGGAACAAAACGGTTTTGTCTTGCCTAAGGCATGGCGTCGAGGTTTGCATGTAAGGTGTGGATCGTGGCTGTTGTTGTTGCCTGTTAAGGGCAATTGGGGTTCAGTAGCACTTGGGTATTGTGCAAGGGGTGAGCTCCTGTGGGCTCCGCATCTTGGGAATAGCAGCTTATAAATTGAACAGTAAACCAGGCACTTTGGATGATAGGGGAATATATGGCGTTCATTATTTTTGAAGAGCTAATTGGTTACAGTGGCAGGGAAACAAATGCAGTGTTGAGTTTCATCAGTTGGGTTTTCAGAGGACAGTCTTACAATGCAAATGTAACTTCTTTATTTTATAGTTTGGACGGAATAATCTGAATTATTTAAGGCTTTTTAGTGAGATGTTCTGGGCACTTCGCCAATCTACGAAGCAGTTCATTTATTGAAATGTCCTTAAAATTAGTTTCAGATGTTTTAGTAGGTATTGAAATCTTTTTGGTAAGGGACTGAGGAGTCGTTGGGGATGGAGGTTGGAAGGGAAAAAATAGAGGATGGAAAGAAAATGGTGGAGAAGCAAGGGTTTGGGATGACTGGTGTGAATTGCAAACAGCTGTTTGCTGCGATCATGTTGAGGCTCCACTTTAACATGGCATTTCTAGGGGTTCGTGCTGTGCTTGCACAAGGCTGTGCCTTATCTGGAGATCTCTGCTCGAGAACAGAGCATTTGCTGTTTGCTGAAGGGGTGTTAATTTTTGCTGTCACGTTTTACTCTATGCCACAGCTAAAACTAGATGCCCAGAGCGTGACCTGGGCTCAACGGATCCAGTGATTTGTGTGAACCGGTTTTGTGCTGTAAGATTTTTTTTGAAGTTTGTTCAAAAAAACCTCTGCTTTAACAAAGAAAATGTTAAGTAATTTGGGTTGTTTTTTTTTTTGGCTTGCAATTTGCATACAAACAGGACAGGCCCAGGCATGGTGGCTGCAGGATTTAGGGTGCGTGACTGACTAGCTCTGTCACAACAGTTTCTGAATGCTCCAATACATTTGTTTCAATAAACATCTGCTACTTATGCACTGAGAGATGAATATTATGCATTTGAACATGAAGAAAGCAGCTCTTACCAATGTATGTTTTCCAAAACTCCATCTGCAAAGGGGAAAAAAAAAAAAAAAAGTGGTTTCCTTTGATTTCTAGTTTCTGGGCACTGCCTGACTGAAGTAGTAAAGGGATGACTCCACAGCTAAAGCAAAAGACTTGCGAGAAAACAACCACCTCCATAATCCCAATGGTAACCAACAAACCTTTAAAGCAGTTCCCCAGCCCAACTGAGGGATCACAAATGAGAATAAAATACAATAGAAGTTGCACTTGGTCCCTCCAGGTTTTCCCCCTGCTATTCACTCCTCCTTCCCCTCTGTGCCTCACCCAAAAGTCTCGTAGAGGTGCGGGCTGGGGGGAACAAGATGTGGCCATTTTGCAACAGTGATACTCACAGTTTTCTCGGTGTTTTCAAATACTTCTCGGGCTTCTTCAAAGCTGCATTTTTCTTCTATGCATTCTCGCTCGAGGTTCCCAGGAATAACCTCTTCCAGTCTGTTTGAATTGGCTCGCTTTTGCCTCTGCAGAACCGAGCTCGCCTCTTTGTTCTCGATGAAGACTGCAATTTGGAAAGAAATAGGGGCTAGGGAAGAGCATGGCCATGGTGTGATGCAGGTGGGATGGGCTGTCAGGGCTTTGTTCTCCCAGTAAGCAAGCCCTTTTCATGTGATCAGCCCCTGTTGCCCTATGGCCCGGAATGTTTCAGGAGCGTTATCATCTGCTTGAGGTTTCTTTGGTGTCTAACTTAAGTGCAACCCAGAAAATCTAATCTGGAGAACCAAGAGTCAAAGTAGTCGATAGACAGAAATAACTGATGGCTGGAGGGTGATTAGGAGCGCTGAAGTTTGATGCTTAAAATACTCACACCATCTGCTTTAGGGTATCTCCTATCATAGATGCACAGACCAAAATAAGTTATTTGAGAGGGGAAAAAAACAGGCTTTTTCATGCTGCTGCTTGGTGAGGTCTTGTTTGGACACAGAAATTGTCCTACTTTAACTGTCTCTGTTTTGGCTGTGAAAGGCTACTTGCCTCTGCAAGAAGCTGCGGCCCTTGGAAGCCACGGGCCATTTGCTTCTCTCCCTGCTCCTCACCCTTGCCCATGTGCCTGGGTACCACCGTTTCCCGCTGGCAGGAGGGGTGACATGAGCTCTCCTCACCCCCTGGGCCACGTCACCTCGATGAGGTGCTCTGCATCCACCTTCAACTCGCTGGCCAAGCTCCTGGGCAGGGACCTCCAGTCTAGGCGGGATGTTCGTCGTGGCTACCAGCCTGGTGAAGGGCACAAGGACGCGCAGTCCTGTCGTGGTGCTGTCACAAATGCCATCCCAGCAGGGCCACTCATCCCATCGGCAGGGTCAGCAGCAGCAGCTTTTCTCCGGCAGCAGCCTGGCAGGGTTTGCTCCTGACCCACCTCTCATAGACCCCCACCTCTGCTGAGCAATCTTCCCCCATCCCACCACTCTAAAAAAGACATTATTCACCCAAAGGACCTTCTTGCTTTGTCTTCCCAGCCTCTCCTCTCTCTCCACCCTCCGTTAGCGCTCGTAGCCGTGTCCCTTTTTGTCACCAGATGGCACGGTAGGGCAGCTCTTCTTGGAGCTGCTGGTGGCCACCCTGGCCAAGAACCCTTGTCTGGGGGCTCTGTGCTGGAAGGGGTTCAGGCATCTGTGGGCCTGGCCCCTCTGAGGGTTAAGGAGAGCATAAGCCCAGCCAGGCGGGCAGAGAGGAGAGCGAGAGGCAAGGACCAGCTGCTCGTTCCTTCTCATGGCTAACTTCTGCTCTTCATCCAGAGTACACCCCAGCCTCTCTGAGCCCACAGAGGATCGGTTTTGTTGAACTCTCATGAGTCCCAGGCGGGTTGCTCTGATGTATGCCATGCCACTGAGGGTGTAACCAGCCCCTTCACTTAAAGATCTCTTTGCGAGAGACTGAACTAATAGTTTTTGCAATGCTTTTAATCATTGCACAGCAAGCTTGCACCTCTGCCTTCCTCATGCTAGTGTGTTTTTGGTTAAAAACAAAAAGGAGTGTATTAGAATCCTGACCTGAATCTAATTTTTTTGGCAGTAGATGTCGATGGGCAAGGCACTGAGCTCTGAAGAAGCCAGGCTTGTTTCAAGCACTGCAGCCCCCATGGGGTGGCTGGTCCCCTCCCAGCTGCAGGGTTGTGGTTTACATGTGGGACACGAACGTACAGCCCCAAGCTAGCCTCCCCGGCTGAGCCGGGGGGCTGAGAGCATGGAGGCACTGGGGGGGCACAGCCTTGCTGGAGAAGACCTGTCCCCTTCTCCCCATGGCGTGGGCTGCAGCCACCAGGTTGTCCCCAAGCTGGGCGGAAAAGGCTGAGGTGAGAATGATGGAGCAGCCTTCCTTGGTCTTGTAACCCTGTGGGGCTCTCCATGTGCTTAGTGCCCGGGGAACCGAATGTGGGCCCAGCCGCACATCACCCTGCGTGAAGTGAGGTGGCTGCGTTAGACCCACTCCTTCATCTCTTCCTGGTGGGATGTGCTAGGCACCCACCATAATTAACCCATTTAATGGAGAGAACTCATTTCAATGAATGTCATTTTGCCTCCCTCAGATCCCTCTAGACTTTCTCAGTTGCTTACTGATCCCACATGCTGCTTTACAAGCAAAACTTGATTTGAACTGAAGGTTGCAGGCCCCACTGTGTCACAGGCATGGTACTCACCCTGGCTGGAAACCATCCTCACACCAAGAATATACTCGCTCATGACTTACCGACTTCTGGACCAGTATCTGAGGGACTGAGATGGGTCTCTGGGCCAAGGGGCTGTGGGGGCAGACCTGTCCTGCCAGCGGAGTATAGTATTTTCTAGGAGATACACCTGGGTAGGTGGTGGTACCAGTATGAGGTTCTCCTCACTTTTCACTGCTAAGCAAACTTTTTGGAAAGAGGCTCTTTTTTTTAACCTGCTACCTGCAATGTTTTAATGAAAGAAGAAAGGCCAGCCTTGCACCAAACAAGTACTCACACTGGATGTGAACCAGCCTCTGCCGGAACTGTTGCTGCTACAGATGAATCAAGCAACATCCTGCATTACTATGTGTGATTGCACACATCCATCAACTACTCTAACTTGTCCACAACTTTGGTTGCATCTTACAGTCTTTGTTAAATTCACGCTGGATTTGGCTTTGAACAATTCTTGCAGGGGCAAATCCAATGACTGTTTTATGGATGTGAGTACTTTTTTTGTACTCCAGGACAAAGCGATGGCACACAAAGACGTATGGATGTCACTCCACCAGCAACGCTCTCCCCCTTTTTTCCTTTGTGTGGGTGTGTGCATTCTAAAATGGCTGAATCGAGCTCTGAAAGCTTAAAAGCTGCAAAAAATTTGAGAAAAATCCTATTCTTAAATTTAATCCCTGTGACACATTCTGCGTAAAATCAGCATAAAAACTATTATTTCATTCCCAAGAAAAGAACTGGAGGTTTAAAGACAGGAGCTATGAAATGCAGCAATCCCTCTGAGCTCTCGTGTCTTATGAGACTGCTCAAGCTGTCCCACCATCAAGTAACAAACTGTCCCTTCACCTGTGCCAGTAACCCCCCCGCACCCAAAAGTGAAGGACTTGCTAGGTTTTAAATGAACTCACCTGTACTTTCGACACCAAGACAAGCTCCCAGAAGACAAATGGAGAATACGAGGGGGATATTTGCCATCTTCTTCACGCTGCCCAAACCTCCCACTAACAAATTGTTCCGGTGGTGGAGCTTAGTCAATAGTTCCAAAGTGCAAGTACTTGTTTATTTACTCTGGGTAACCCTTTAATTTAAGGCCCCCAGATGTGCCATTGCTGAAGCTTGAAATGGTAGCGTGGGTGTTACTGGAGCGGGCACGTCCACCTACAAGAAAGCCGCTAGGTAGTTGCAGTCCTTGGGCTCCTCTTCTGCCCTGTAGGATATTACTGCCATGTTTGGGGCTTGAGCATGGCACAAGAGCAAATTAATGCAGCTTCAGTGAACCTCTTTAAAGCACTGGGTTTCCCATTCCCATCCAGGTGACGTTGTTGGCTATATAAAAGTCCACAGTAGCATTTTCAAAGGCTTCAGTATGGTCCACGTTTCGTCCAAAAGAGCCAGCACAATTCCCTTGAAGATGACCCTACAGATGATGTTTTGTCTTGGGGACCCGGTGCCCTTGGAGCAGGGCTGTGTCAGCCAGCATGCTCTCACCTGGGTTGTCTAATTAAAAACCTGGATGAAGTGAGGTGAGACTACTGGTCCATTATCCAGATCTGCTGGGGCAAACCCTGGAGTTTCCTAGGTCCTGTACTTGAGGCCACAGGAAGGAACCTGCTATTTGGTGGCTTGGACAGTGGGCTGGCATAGGGATGTGCTGATAAAATGCTGGCTCTGGAGCAGGGAGAGTGTGCAGGGCAGCCTTTGCCCAGGGCAGGTTCACAGGCTGCCTCTGATCCACACTGGCCAAAGAGCGGACTGAAAGGGAGGGAAGACGGGGGAAATGAAATGGGGACAAAAAGCGGGTTTTCATACAGAAAAGAAAGAGTGCGTTTTCATAGGAAATAATTCATATTCAATGGTGGGTTACTTACAACTTTTAAAACCCATTTCTTCCCTTCTTCTGACTTTCCCTCCATATGAAGAACTATTTCAGGGTGAGTAATTGCTTTTGGGAAAACACTGAATATGGTAAAAAAATAAGCGAAATGTTCATTTCTGGAAAGGTCAAAAATCTATCCCCTCCTCCTTCCTTGAGGAGTTGTAGGCCAAAATCATTCATCCCACTCTGGGGAGGGCTTGTGAGCTTTATGCCAATGACCTGTTCCTCAAAACCTGCTTCCCAGTTTCTGCTTCTCCCCCTGATTCCCTGTGCACAGGGTAGAACTGAAATCCATCATCGCACCCGTGCGCATCTGGGGCTTGCAGTGCTCTGCCCAATTACAAAAAGGTCTCGGACAGGGACTTTTTAAAGCAGAACTCCATTTCTGAGTGTGTTGTTGGTGCTATTGCCTTTTGGTATTGGCTTAGCTCTAACACTACGCTCAAGAAGAGCAGCAAGAGGCTAGCAGGCTTTGACGGCTTGTTAGAGCAGAAGAGCTAGAAGAAGGGAGCTGGCAGGTTTCAGTAGTTCCAAGCAAAGCAAGATGGATATTCTGATATTGTCAATGCAAGGGGATCCCACAGTGTGTTTTGCGGTGCCGTGGGTGCTCACAAGCAGGCTAATGCCATGCGGTGAGATGCAGAGTACATACTGTGTTGGATGTGCCCGTGTCTTGCAGGCTGGAGAGCTATTAGTTGCTATGAGGCTACAATAGCCCTTGGGTAGTTGTTAAAGTGTTTGCTTGAGCTTATGAACCATAAATTCTATGCACTCACTCCAAAAAATTAAAAATATTCCTTTGTGCAGCAAATGGGAGAGAGGTTTATGGTTGCATGGGTATCTGGAGTTACTTTTGTACGCAGAAAGAACCGATCAGCTGCAGGTAAATATGAGATGCTGAATGTGAGTTGCAGCCTTGTGAGATCTGTGTTGCCTAGGTGGAAAAAATCCTTTATTTTCCCTTTCTTGAGCAAACAAGAGGTCCTGAAACCTATAATTCATCTTGTTTTTTCTTGCTCCGTTCAAAATGATCTTTATTCATCACTGACAGTAGCTTTTGTTATCAAATTTCTGTGGTAGATAAATGAGTTAGGATGAGGTAATATGCTGTTGATGTAAATTGAATGCGAAGTGAAGAAGGTAATGATCATCTCTCATTTTCTGTGCATAAGAAAATGCAAATGTGAGAAAATAAATTGAGCTAAAATGCTGAAACAATACATCTCCTATCTATAAAGAGGAGTGTAGAGAATGGCCTGCCATAACAAAGGATAATTAGAATCTCATTACTGTAAATATTTTACTTTAGAACATAGGTCAGTTGAATTATTTTTGGTTTATGGTGTGTATTTCACTTGTAACAGTATTTGCAACATTATTGCTAATTAATCTTCACAGAAAATGCCAACATCATTAGAATAAACAAGGCTATTAATACAAATAATTTCTATTGTTTACTACTATTACTGTCAACTGCTGGGGCACTAAATTGAAAGCAAAGTGTTTCTTTTAATGTATTTTTCAAACAAAATCCCCAGAATTGTGATCCCCACCATGGGCACTTCGGAGATGAAAGTGTTGCGGTTTAGGTGGATGACATCAATCAGATCTGGATATATTTGGACTTAGTCTTCTAGGCTCTCAAAAGAAGGCTACTTAAGATACACACCCAAGTCATACTCCTTCCTCTTAAAAAGGTTTTCTGTAGTAACAAGCTCTTAGGAGATGTCTTTTCTGGTTTGAGGTGTTAGGTTAGGGCTTTTTTTGTTGAAATATCCCTTTATTTGTTGGAACAAAACCGTCACACACATGTGGTGGCTGGGTATGTGTTTGTGTCAAAGGCAGAAGGCGCTGGCAAGGGTGCAGGGCAGTGTGTTCCTGGCAGGGCCACCACCTCGGGCTTGGGGACTGCCCGTCTTTCGCAGAAGCTTTCTGCTGCAAAATAAAATGAAGTTTATGAGAAGTCAGAACAAGAAAGCTATTTCCATTTTAATCTGATAGAATTTTTTTTTTTTTTTAAAAAAAAAAAAAATAGTGCTCTGGCTGCACTGATCAATAATGTTAAACAGCCTGATGGCTTGAAGATCTTGTTAAAGGATTGTTCATAATCTCCCTTGTCTCCAAACGCACTCTTTTAAGCGAAAAATCCTCACTCAAAACCTTAAGCAAATTGCAATTTGCCCTTGCCCTCTAGACAGCTATGGCAAGTAATCTTTCCTTAACCAACAGCAAACAAGCTATTTCTGAAAAAAACAAGGAAAGTAATGCTTGATCTCTTTGGTTTTTGTTTTTTGGTGGTGTTTTGTTTTTTTTTTTTTCCTTCTTTATTTGATTACTTTGAAGTCCCTGGCTTTTTTTGGAGCAGTGATTGTGGGAAGTTATCCAAATATAGAGGCAGCACAGCCATGGAATCCTTTGCAGTGCCTATCATTCTGTTGTAATGATTAACATACTGGAGAAAGTACCAATTCTGTTAGAAATCCCATAGCCTCTAGAGATACCAAGGTGTATTTGGACATCAGTGACGTTGGTGACCTACTCCAGGTGAGGATATGGCCTCACCTTTCACAGGTGGGATGCAGAAGCCTTGTCCCTGTGGTGGTGGCTCTGGGCTGGTCGGGTCGCAGGCACAAGGAGATGCTGCTGATGGCTTCAATTCTGTACTGTGGGAGAGGTATTTGGGCAAAAGGAGGTGGCTGGTTTTGGTGGTGTGAAATAGCAACCAGGACCAACTCTTCAGTGATGGCAGCATACAGTTTGTGCAGGAGCAGTGTTGGCTCACAGTTCTCCCATCTCTGAAAGCCTCTCCCCTACTTCCCTTACCTATCTCAGGGCTTTCAGTTCCTGTGTTGGGCATTTTTCTTCTGCTTTTATACAGAGGCTTCAATGCTTGTGCCGAGAAACAGGCTCCCCTTGCTGATTTCCCTCCAGACACATCCATCGCAGTTAGCACTTAAGCTCCGTCCCTCCCATTTTATTCAGTTTTTAATTAGACTCCTGAACAGCAGCACAGAGCAAACTCTGCTTTCATCTGGGAGATCCAGTGGCTGTGAAATATTTACGGGAAGTAAATAACTGTCAGAAAGTAAATAAGTCCCTGACTCTACATGAGTGTAAAAGTGCTTTGAAATAGTCCGATTCGAATAAAAGCTCCTCATGTTGAGTGGCAGTAAGAAACAGCAGCACAGGCAAAAAATTCCCAATGTAGAAGGTAAACACAATTACTAATTCATAGAGCAGCACGTTTCACAGTAGCAGCTTTAATATCTTTCCTTGCAGTTTGATTTAAAATAGGCCAGGTTAAAAGGAAATCTGGATTTGGTTTGGTCATCATCTTTTCAGAAAGCGAAGTGCAAACATGGATAGACGCACCACGCTGCTGAAGTTTGTCTAAATTTAGACTTTGCCATCTCCACTTCAAACTGGATGAAGCAATGAAACACAGCTCAGAGGAAGCAGCAGCTCTTGCAGGTTTTGTTGGGTCAGGTAAATCACCAAGCTCAAACATCATCGTACAGAGCAAGAACTAAATTAAATATAAGCTCAAAAGCTGGCTTGCCACTGTGTCTTGGCACAAGATGATAAAGCCCTGTCACCGGCCAGGCATGTATGTGGGATAGAGGCTTGTCCTGCCCCAGGCTTGCTGATGTGAATGTGAGTTCTGGAGGTTGCTTTGAAACAGATCGCTGAAAGATGTTTCTCTCTTCCCCAGCAAGCCCATCGCTCCCATCTGCTGATGGTATTAGTAGCGTAGTGTCCTAGAGAAACACTCCTGGACTAGGACTGTTAATAGAGACAGGTTAGCTCCAGCCAGCAGCATCCAGCTAAGCAGAGGAAGCTTGTTTCCCTCTTCACTCATGGGAAAGGATTCGTCTTGCCTTGCCCTGATGCCTGTCGTTGGAGGAGGGAGGTGTCTCTTTCTCTCCCTTTCTGTTAACTAGCAAAGGAGCTTTGATTGACAGCTTACGCTATATGCCAAACTTTATATTTGGATAGTTAAAACTGGGGTGAAATGAATCTCACCCAGCACACCCAAACTCATCATAGTCAAAGCCCTTGCCCTTAACTCCACACTGCGCTTAAAGTAATAACATTCAGT